TGGCAACAGAAACCCCAGGATGATGGTTCCCACTCGGACGGGAGAAGGGGATTGGGAGAAGGGGATTATGATTGGGGTGACCACGGAGGCTGCAGTGCCTGGCCTGAGTAGTGGTTAAATGTGTGTTCACCCTATCATTATTTCTTAAAACATGTCTCAATGTTTTCTGCACCTTTATATACATATGCCAGATTTCACAGTTTTAAAACTAAATGTTCAATATAGACCAGGTGTGGTGGCTCATCCCTGTAATCCCAGCACTTTGAGAGGCTGAGGCGGGTAGATCACTTGAGGTCAGGAGCTCAAGACCAGTCTGGCCAACATGGTGAAACCCTGTCTATATTAAAAAAAAAATACAAAAATTAGTCAGGAGTGGTGGCATGCACCTGTAATCCCAGCTACTTGGGAGGGTGAGGTGGGAGAATCGCTTGAACCCGGGAGGCAGAAGTTGCAGTGAGCCAAGATTATGCCACTAAACTCCAGCCTGGGTGGCACAGTGAGACCCTACCCCAAAAATTAAATTATGAGGCTGGGTGTAGTGACTGATGCCTGTAATCCAAGCACTTTGGGAGGCCAAGGGTGGTGGAACGCTTGAGATCAGGAGTTCGAGACCAGCCTGGACAACATGGTGAAACCCCATCTCTACTAAAAATACAAAAATTAGCTGGGCATGATGACATATGCCTGTAGTCCCAGCTACTCAGGAGGCTGAGGCAGGAGAATCGCTTGAGCCCAGGAGGCAGAGGTTACAGTGAGCTGAGATCGCACCACTGCACTCCAGCTTGGGTGGTAGAGTGAACTCCGTCTCAAAAATAAATAAATAAATAAATGTTCAACAGATGAATTTAACTGCAGATTAGATATGGCTAGAGACATTGTTAGTAAATCGTACAGAGGAGCTAAAGAAAGTTACCAGAATGCAGCAAAGAGGCACAAAGAAATAGAAAACTTGAAAAACAGAAGACATAGAAGGTAGCATGAGTAGGTCTAACAAAAATCCAATTGTCACGCCAGAGAGAGAAGACAGAGAGAATAAAGCAGCAGCAATTGTTTTTTAATTGAAATAGAGTCTCACTCTGTTGCCCAGGCTGGAGTGCAGTGGCACAATGTTAGCTCACTGCCAATCTCTGCTGCCTGGGTTCAAGCAATTCTCATGACTCAGCCTCCCGAGTAGCTGGGACTACAGGCGTGAGCCACCCTGCCCAGCTAATTCTTCTGTATTTTTAATAGAGACGGGGTTTCACCATGTTTCCAAGGCTGTTCTCAAACTCCTGACATCAGGTGATCCGCCTGCCTGGGCCTCCCAAAGTGCTGGGATTACAGGCGTGAGCCACTGTGTCTGGCTGCAGCAGCAATATTTTAAGAGGTACTGCCTAAGAACTTTCCAGAACTGAAGAAAGACACAAATCCACAAATTCAAGAAGCCCAATAAATCCCAAGCAGAGAAGACAGAAATAGGTCCACACCTAGACACAAGATATTAAAGGCAGCCAGAGGAAAAAAGCTGATTACCTTTAAAACTGTGACTTAGATGGCAGGCTGCCTTCTCAATCGCAGCAGTGCAATCCAGAAGATGGTTGACTGATACCTTCGATACACTGACAAAGTAACTGTCAGAGAGAAAAAAAACAGGTCACACTCAAAGAATCAGAAGTCAGAATGGCTTCAGATTTCAGCAACAGCACGGGGAACCGGAAGACAATAAAGTGCTGGCCGGGTGCAGCGGCTCACGCTTGATATCCCAGCACTCTGGGAGGCCCAGGCAGGCAGGTCACTTGAAGTCAAGAGTTTGAGACTAGCCTGGCCAACATGGGGAAACCCTGTCTCTACTAAAAATACAAATATTAGCCGGGCATGGTGACAAGCACCTGTAATTCCAACTACTTGGGAGGCTGAGGCAGGAGAATCACTTGAACCTAGGAGGTGGAGGTTGCAGTGAGACAAGATCACACCCCTGCACTCCAGCCTGGCAACATAGCAAGACTCCATTTAAAAAAAAAAAAAGACAATGAATTGCTGCCTTCGAAATTCTGAGGGAAAAATGATTTCCCAGCCTAAAATTCTACACCCAAATTGTCAACCATGGGGTTAAAGACATTTTTATACATGAAAGAATTCAGTACACCATTGGCAAACGTAAGAATTTAATAGCTGTTTAAAAAGCAAGTCGTGCCAGGGCAGTGGCGTGCACCTGTGGTCCCAGCTACTCGGGATGCTGTGGCAGGAGGATCACTTGTGCCCAGCAAGCAGAGGCTGCAGTGACCTGTGATTGTGCTACTGCCCTCCAACCTGGGCGACAGAGTGAGGCCTTGTCTCAAAAAAAATAAAATAAAAATAAGTGGTCTGGCACAGTGGCTCACACCTGTAATCCCAGCACTTTGGGAGGCCGATGCAGGCAGATCATCTGAGGTCAGGAGCTGGAGACCAGCCTGGCCAACATGGTGAAACCCTATCTCTACTAAAAATACAGAAATTAGCCATGCATGGCGGCACACACCTGTACTCCCAGCTACTACTGGGGAGGCTGAAGCAGGAGAATTGCTTGAGCCCAGGAGGCGGAGGTTGCAGTGAGCTGAGATTGCACCACTGCACTCCAGCCTGGCCAACAGAGTGAGATACTGTCTCAAATAAAAAAAAAAAAAAAGAAGAAAAAGAAGTAATCACTAGAATAGAGATGCCATGTGTACATAGCATTCAAATAACCAAGGGGGAAAAAATGGGACTTGATTAATAAAAAAAAGAAAGAAAGGGGAACAAGAAAAATAAGAGACCAGACGCGGCGGCTCATGCCTGTAATCCCAGCACTTTAAGAGGCCAAGGTGGGTGAATATCCTGAGTCCAAGAGGTTGATACCTGCCTGGGAAACATGGCGAAACCCCCATCTCTATGAAAAAAATTTAATACAAAAATTATCCTGGAGTGGTGGTGCACAGCTGTAGCCCCAGCTACCCAGGAGGCTGAGACGGGAGGATTGCTTGATCCCAAGGAGGTCGAGGCTGCAGTGAGCCATGATCGCACCACTGACCTCTGGCACGGGAGGCGGGCTGAGGCCCTGTCCCAAAAAATAAATAAATAAAAGCAACAAAATAAGAGAAAAAAAATGCTTGGAACATAGCTAACAGATAAATCAACACAATATATAAAGAACTGCAAATAGTAAACTAAGAGTAAGTAACCCAATATAAAGACATTAAAGGGTAGCCACAGACAATTCAGACAGGACAAAAAATGAAAGGCAATAAACGTATGAAAAATGCATAACTACAAAGTGATCAGGGAATGGTAAACGAAAAGCGATGATTAAATACTATTTTCTCATCCACCGGAATGCCAAAAATTACAAAGCCTAACAACGTCCAGGGTTGGCAAGAATGCAACGGAATGTGCTGTTGCATACTCTGCAAGTGGGACTCTTAACAGGTTCGGGTTTTTTCATCGAAGTTACGTGGCCTGTTTTTTTTTTGTTTGGTTGGGTTTTTTTGTTTGTTTGTTTTTTGACATGGAGTTCCACTCTTGTTGCCCAGGCTGGAGTGCAATGGCGAAATCTTGGCTCACTACAACCTCCACCTCTCAGATACAAGCGATTCTCGAGTCTCAGCCTCTCCGGTACCTCGGATTACAGGCATGCGCCACTATGCCCGGCTAATTTTTTTGTATTTAGTAGAGACGAGGTTTCACCATGTTAGTCAGGCTTGTCTCGAACTCCTTACCTCAGGTGATCCACTCGCCTAGGCTTCTCAAAGTGCTGGGATTACAAGTATGCGCCACTGCGCCCGGCCATTTTTTTTTTTTTTTTTTTTAAGACGGAGTTTCGCTTTTGTTTCCCAGGGTGGAATGCAGTGGCGTGATCTTGGCTCACTGCTGCCTCCACCTCCCGGGTTCAAGCGATTCTTCTGCCTCAAACTCCTGAGTAGCTGGGACTACAGATGCCCGACACCAAGACTGAGTAATTTTTGTATTTTTTGTAGAGACAGGGTTTCACCATGTTGGCCAGGCTGGTCTGGAACTCCTGACCTCAGGTGATCCACCCTCCTCAGCCTCCCAAAGTGCTGGGATTACAGACCTGAGCCACCTCGCCCGCTGCCCAATTAAAAATTTAAACACTCATTCCGTTTAACCCAGAAGAACATGGGTACTCAAGGACATTCAGCCTGTGCCCTGACCAGGCAGCGTGACTTGAGCTCACGCAGAAATTTGGCATTTTTGTACCAAGAAACGGCACTTGGGCTCCCATGTGTCTGGACTGGGGCACGGCCCTGTGGAGCTGGCGCCGCTGGGAGTCGTTTTGGTTCCGGGTGGGTCACCTCAGAGGCGGGGAGAAGAGCTGAGACTTACTTACATGGGGGCTAGCGCAGGCACGGCCGGACATGGGACATTTCAGACAGACGGTGAGCACATTCCTCACATTCCCTAGTTACCAGGGTTCACTCAAGTCACCCTGTCACAGGCTGGCAACGGGAGAACCCCACCTCAACAATTACATGGGGCTTGCGTCATGGAATGTTCTAGAAAGAGAAAGGAGGCTGACGCAGGCGCCACACGGTCTCAGAACCCTGAGTGCACCACCCCCCAACGCACACACACAGCTCGGGCTGCTGTGGGGGAAGGGTGACCATTTACCACAAAAGAAAATCGAAACAATACCTCCCCTGCTACCTTAATGGTTGCTGAGGGACGTGTCACGTGCAGCACCACCTAGTACCACGTGCGGCACTACGCAGCTGGTGCCGGAACTTTTTGCACAAGGAAAGGAGACCCTGTACCCGCGGAGGGAGCCCTTTTGGAATTGCTGACATGAGAGAAGATGAGAACGGGACTATTTTCAAGAACGTTGCACACGCAAGTCACAAACATTCCCAATCCCGTGAATTGCTCGCAGAGATTGCAGCACCCGGAGGGAGCCGCACACGGCACGTGGAGGGAGCCATGCCACATCACATAAATGTGCTGGGCAGCACACCGCCACCATTTGCTCTTCAGACACCAACAAGAGTGGACTAATGGCGGACGCTGAGGCGAGCGCTGAGATGCCGGAGGAGGCCAGACCCGACGCGGGTACCTTGCGGGTGTTGCGAGACATGGCCAGCCGCCTGCGAATTCATTCCATCAGGGCCACGTGCTCCACGAGCTCCGGGTAGGTTCCCCTCGTTGAAGCTCGGGTCGTGGAGGGCCACGGGCCGGGTGGCCATGGGGTCGCATGGTGAAGGGAGAGCCCTCAGATGTCCACTGGGCCCGGTTATAGATGCCCTGTAGTCTTGGGCTATCGGGGCCAAGCTGAGCCTCCCAGACGGCGGCGAGGCACTGTTCCCGCCAGCTCAAGCGTCGGTTGGCCGGCCGGCCGGCCGCAGGCTCTGGAGCCCACTCCTCATTACCCCATGGCGGAAGTTCTGCAGGTCCCCAAGATCCCCTGTTAGGAGACAAGGATCCAGACTGGACTGAGGTGGTAGGGGGATGTCGCTGGGACCAGACGGGACTACTACAGTATAGCGGGGAGCAGGGCTTCCTGGGTAAGCCGTTGTACGGGATCCCCGCGGGTGAATGAGCAACCCTAGGCCAGGACATGAGGATAGAAAGCAATTCAAATTCCAGCCTGGGCAACATGGTGAAACCCTGTGCCTTACCAAAAAAGGAAAATAAAAAATGAGCCGGGCATGGGGGCACGCACCTGCACTCCCACCACTCGGGGGGCTAAAGTGAGAAGGTCGCTTGAGCTGCTGGGTTTGCTAGCGTGCTGCTCATGGTTTTTGCATCAGTATGAATCCGGGATGTTTGTCTCTAGTTGTTGTAGTTGGTTTGGGTACCAAAATGTAATGCTGGCTTCGTAGAATGAGTTTCAAAGTGTTCCATCTTAAATTTTTTGTAGTGGCCAGTGTGGTGACTCCCACCTGTAATCCTAGCACTTTGGGAGGCCGAGGCAGGCGAATCGTGTGAGCCTAGGAAGTTCGCGATCAGCCTGGGCAAGATGGCGAGCCTCTGAACAAAATGTTACAAAAATTAGCTGGGCATGGTGGCATGTGCCTGTAGTCCCAGCTACGCGGGAGGCTGTGAGGCTCAGGTCGCAGTGAACTGAGATTGTGCCATTGCACTCTGGCCTGGGCAACAGAGTGAGACCCTGTCTCACAGAAAAAAAAGTTAAATCTAACTGGGCGCGGTGGCTCTGGCCTGCAGTCTCAGTATATGGGAGCCTGATCGCTTTGGGAGGCCGAGGCAGGCAGATTGCGTGAGCCTAGAGATCACCCTGGGCAAGATGGCGAGCCTCTGTACAAAATATTACAAAAATTAGCTGGGCGTTGTGGCACGTAACTGTAGTCCCAGCTACGTGGGAGGCTGAGAGGCTCAGGTTGCAGTGAACTGAGATTGCGCCATTGCACTCGGGCCTGGACAACAGAGGAAGCAAGACCTTGTAGCGAAGAAAAAAAATGTGTGTGTGTGTGTGTGTGTGATGTCTTTTTCTTGAGTTTCAAGAGGATTGTTCATTTTTCTTTAAATGTTTGGTAGGAATTGCCAGTGAGGCTTTTCTTTGTTGGGAGCTTTTTGATGACTGCTTTAGTCTTTTTACTAGTTGCTTGTAGATCTATTCAGATTTTCTTGTCTTGATTAATTCTTGTGAGGCTTGCTGTTTCTAGGAATTTATCCATTTCTTGTAGGTTAACCCATTTGTTGGCTTGCAATTATTTATAGTACACTGTCACCTTTTATATTTCTGTAGAAGTGGTAGTAATAATCTCACTTTAACTTGATTGTACTTTTCGACCCCCCTCCTTTTTTATTGAGAGTCTCCCTCTGTTGCCAGGCTGGAGTGCAGTGGTGCAATCTCGGCTCACTGCAACCTCCACCTCCCGGTTCAAGCAATTCTCCTGCTTCAGCCTCCCGAATAGCTGGGACTACAGATGGGCACCGCCATGCCCAGCTAATTTTTTGTGTTTTTAGTAGAGACGCGGTTTCACCATGTCGGCCAGGCTGGTCTCCATCCCTTGACCTCGTGATCCACCCGACTTGCAACCCCTGCCTCCCAAGTTCAAGCAATTCTCCTGCTTCAGCCTCCCGAGTAGCTGCAATTACAGGCATGCGCCACCACACCCTGCTAATTTTTTGTATTTTTAGTAGACTCGGGGTTTCTCCATGTTGGTCAGGCTGGTCTCGAAATCTCAACCTCAGGTGATCCACCCACCTCGGCCTCCCAAAGTGCTGGGATTACAGGCATGAGCCACTGAGCCCGGCTTTTTTTTTTTTTTTTTTTTTTTTTTTTGCAGGGTTTTTCTCTGTCACCCAGGCTGCAGCGCAGTGGTGCAATCATAGTTCACTGCAACCTCGAACTCTCCTGGGCTCAAGCGACCCTCCTGCCTCTCTGCCTCCTAAGTACCTGGAATTACAGGTGCACACCATGGCCTGCCCATCTATTAATAGCTAGTTTTGTTGACCTTTTTTAAAGAACCAGCTTTGGCTGGGGGAGTTGGCTCACACCTGTAATCTCAGCACTTTGGGAGGCAGAGACAGCTGGATCGCTTGAGCTCGAGTTCAGGATTAGCCTGGGCAACATGGGTAAAACCCCATCTTTACCAAAAATATAATTAGCCAGGCGTATGGTGGGCACCTGTAGTCCCACCTACTTGGAAGGCTGACACAGAAGGGTTGCTCGAGGCTGCAGTGAGCCATGTTTATGCCCTGCACACCAGCCTGGGTGACAAAGTGAGACCGTCTCAAAAAAAAAAAAAAGAAAAGAAACAAATTTGGTTTTATTAATTTTCTCCATTGTTTTCTTAGTCTCTGTTTTAGTTGTGCTTTGATCTTTTTTTCCCTTTCTGCTAGCTTTGGGTTTTTTTTTTTTTTTTTTCTTTTGGGGGGACGGAGTTTCGCTCTTGTTGCCCAGGCTGGAGTGCAATGGCGCGATCTTGGCTCACCGCAGCCTCCGCCTCCTGGGTTCAGGCAATTCTCCTGCGTCAGCCTCCTGAGTAGCTGGGATTACAGGCATGTGCCACCATGCCCAGCTGATTTTTTGTATTTTTAGTAGAGACGGGGTTTCACTATGTTGACCAGGCAGGATGGTCTCGATCTCTTGACCTCGTGATCCACCCATCTCGGCCTCCCAAAGTGCTGGGATTACAGGCGTGAGCCACCGCGCCAGTCCCTAAGTTGTAAAGCTAGGTTGTTGATTTGAGGGGTTATTTATTTACTATTATTTTTTGAGACAGAGTCTTGCTGTGTCACCCAGGGTAAAGATGGGGTTTCTCAATGTTGGTCAGGCTGGTCTCGAACCGCTGGCCTCAAGTGATCTGCCCATTTCGGCCTCCCAAAGTGCTGGGATTACATGTGTGAGCTACCACATCCAGCCAGATTTGAGAGGTTTTAAAAAATGTGTTTATAGGTATAAATGTCACACTTGGCACAGCTTTTGCTGCATCCCGTAGGTCTCGGTATTTTGTGCTTCTGTTTTCATTTGTCTCTAAGTGTATTCTCATTTTCTTTCTTTCTTTCTTTTTTTTTTTTTTTTCTGAGACAGTCTTGCTCTGTCTCCCAGGCTGGAGTGCAGTGGCACCATCTCAGCTCACTGAAACCACCGGCTCCCAGGTTCAAGCAATTCTCCTGCCCCAGCCTCTCGAGTAGCTGGGATTGCAGGCGCCTGCCACCACGCCCAGCTAATCTTTTTGTTTTTTATTAGAGACAGGGTTTCACCATGTTGGCTAGGCTGGTCTCAAACTCCTGATCTCAGGTGATCCACCCGCCTCGGCCTCCCAAAGGACTGGGATTACAGGCGGGAGCTACCATGCCCGGCCTCTTTTTTTAATTTTAATAGTTTTAGCGGTACAAGTGGTTTTTGGTTACATGAATAAATTCTGTATTGGTGAATTCTCAGATTTTAGTGCACCCGTCACCCAGGTGTAGTATACACTGTCCCCAATATGTTGTCTTTTGTCCCTCACCTCCTTCCTACTCTCCCCCCACACTCTTCTTCCCAAAGTCCACGGTATCACTCCAAAGCTTAGCTCCACTTACAAGTGAGAACATACAGTACTTGGTTTTCCATGACTGAGTTACTTCGCTTAAAATAATGGCCTCCAGCTCCATCCAACTTGCTGCCAAATACCTTGTTCTTTATGCCTGAGTAGTATTCCATGTTGTATATACACCACATTCTATATCCATTCATTGGCTGATGGACACTTAGCTTTGTTCCATATCTTTGTAATTGTGAATTGTGCTGCCTATAAACATGTGTGTATGTACGTTTTTCATATAACTTTTTTTCCTTTGGGTAGATAGCCAGTAGTGGAGTTGCTGGATTGAATGGTGGATGGTAGATCTACTACTTTTAGTTAAGGAATCTCTTACTGTTTCCCGTAGAGGTTGTGCTATTTTACATTCCCACCAGCGGTGTGAAAGTGTTGTTCCCTTTTCACCACATCCGCGCCACCGTCTATTGTTTTTTGACTTTTTACACCTGATCTTAGCCAAAAGGCTGAGAAGCAATGTTTTTTGACTTTTTACTTACAGCCATTCTTGCAAGATAAGGTGGTATCATTGTGGTTTTAATTTGCATTTCCCTGATAATTAGTCATGTTGAGCATTTGCTCATGTGCGTTGGCTGTTTGTATATCTTCTTTTGAGAATTGTCTATTCATGTCCTTTGCCCACTTTTTGATGGACTTTTTTTGTTTATTTTTACTTGCTGATTTGAGTTCCTTGTAGATTCTGGATACTAGCCCTTTGTCGGATGCGTGGTTTGCAAATATTTTCTCGCATTCTGTGAGTTGCCTGTTTACTCTGCTGATTACTTCTTTTTGCTGTGCAGAAGCTTTTCCGTTTAATTAGGTCCCATATTTTAATTTCTGGTTTTGTTGCTCTTACTTTTGGGGTCTTAGTCATGAATTCTTTACCTAGGCCAATGTCCAGAAGAGTTTCTCCAATGTTATCTTCTAGAATTTGTATGGTTTCTGGTTTCAGATTTAAGTCTTTTATCTACCTTGAGTTGTTTTTTATATAAGGTGAGAGATGGGTATCCAGCTTTGTTCTTCTACATGTGGCTGGCCAGTTTCCTGGCACCATTGATTGAATACAGTGTCCTTTCCCATTTACGTTTTTGTGTGCTACGTAGAATATCAGTTGGCTGTATTCGGCTTATACTTCTGGGTTCTATCGCTCAGGCTGTAGTGCAATGATGTGATCTCTGCTCACTGCAACCTCTACGTCCCGTGTTGAAGTGATTCACCTGCCTCAGCCTTCCGAGTAGCTGGGACTAGAGGTGCATGCCACTACACCTGGCTAATTTTTGTATTTTTAGTAGAGATGTGGTTTCACCATGTTGGCCAGGCTGGTCTAGAACTCCTGACCTCGGATGATCCACCCACCTCGGCCTCTTCAAAGTGCTGGGATTACAGGCATGAGCCACCATGCCGGGCCTGACCTAGGGTTTTCTAGGTATATGATCATATCATCAGCGTTACTGCACTAGTTTGACTTCCTCTTCTCCAGTTTGGATGCCCTTTATTTCTTTATCTCACCATTGCTCTTTGGTTGTGTAAGAGTGTGTTGCTTAATTTTCACAAATTTGTGAATTTTCCAGTTTTCCATCTATTACTGATTTCTAACTTCATCCCGTTGTGGTTAGAGAAAATACTTAGTACAGTACATCTTTTTAAATCGTGTTGGCCGGGCTCGGTGGCTCTCACATGTAATCCCAGCACTTTGGGAGGCTGAGGCAGGTGGATCACCTGAGGTCAGTCAGGAGTTTGAGACCAGCCTGGCCAATAAGGTGAAGCCCTGTTTCTACTAAAAATGCATAAATTAGCCAGGCTTGGTGGTGCACCGCTGTAATCCCAGAGACTTGGGAGGCTGAGGCAGGAGAATTGTTTGAACGTGGAAGGCAGAGGTTGCAGTGAGCCGAGATTGCACCACTGTACTCCAGCCTGGGCAACAGAGTGAGACTGTGTCTCAAGTAAATAAATAAATAAATAGAATGAGACTGTGTCTCAAATAAGTAAATAAATAAAATCTTGCTCCAGAGCCTGGGCTAAATAGTAAAAAGAGGGTGTGAATGCCGTTAAGACCCGTATATGTCTGAAATTTTTGTACATGTTCATTTTGTACCCTTCACCTTCAAAATTAGTAACAGGCTGCACTTTCTCAAGGGATCTCTTGTGGCTTTTCAATCTCAATCATCCACTTAGGGGACATTTACAAAGCAAGAGGTTTAAGTCCCCCCACCTTTTTTTTTTTTTTTTTTTTGAGATGGAGTTTTGCTCTTGTTACCCACGCTGGAGTGCAATGGCACAATCTTGGCTCCACAACCTCTGCCTCTCAGGTTCAAGCAATTCTCCTGCCTCAGCCTCCCAAGTAGCCCAGCCTAAGTCCTCGTTTTCTTAATGGGGACTTTCTTAGTGGAAATTGAAATTAGAGATTATTCATATAAGCTGGGCTTAACATCTTTTTTTACCTACAGTTGGGGTAGAGCTCCAGGGAGCTGGTTTTGTCCCCCTGTCTTGTCCCCTCCCCCTTTTAATTAACTAAGGTCTGGCTGGACTCAATCAACATGCAGGCCGCTTTCTAAGAGCAGCAGTTACTTTGGCAGCATTCAGAAGGCCCGAGTTACTCAACCATGACAAATTGCTCAGTCCTTCACCATTCACTTCCTAAAACTCATTTTTAGAATGGGATCTTCGTGGCGTTTCTGATTAGCAATGCTCCTGAAATTTCCTCAGCATGTGGAAAGGCCATAGATGAATTCAAGCACATTAAAGAAGACTTATGCAGAGGTGTTAGGGAAACCTGACCCAAGAGTGCACAGTGCCCTGCTGTTTAGGAGCTGACCTTGCTGTGAGCAGGGGAGGGGCAGCGAGGTGATTGGGCTTCAAGCATCCTTTCAACCTGAGAGCCCTGCATTCCTTACCCTTGGTGGGATTCTTCCCGGGCTGGGAGAAATGACTGCTTCTGCGAGGATACCATGTGCCAAGGTCATGTCCTAGGAAGTCAGTTGCTGTGAGAAATGACCAGTGTCATGTCTACCTTTCAGCCACCCTACATCATGCAGCAGTTCTGCCGAGATCATGTCTGTGCTGTTCTTCTACATCATGAGGTACAAGCAGTCAGATCCAGAGAATCCAGACAATGACCGATTCGTCCTCGCAAAGGTATGCTGGCTGGGAGCCCAGGGCTGCTGCGGCACTTGCTTCTTAAGCCCAGTTTGAACAGCCGCTGTGTGGGAACAAGGCCTGGAATGGGCCTTGTTGATCATTTTGATTTTTCTTTCATTGCATCTTAATGCTGTAGGGTTCTAGACCCTAGGAACCATGTGATGGTTTGATAGGAAGGGTGGCTTGGGAGAGCTGGCGGCCGCTTGGAACCATGTGATGGCTTGGTAGGAAGGGTGGCTTGGGAGAGCTGGTGGCCATTCCTTTCCTTTGTCATACCCTGCCTCGCCCCCCCACCACAAAAGCTTTCCCTGTGGCACAGTTATGCTGCTCCCACCCTCTGTGCTGCCTGAGTAGAGGCAGGCAGCCTCAGTGGATCTGACTGTGAGCTGGGGTACATGGAGTGTGACTGGGAGGGACATCCTACCCGTCAGTCAGTGTCCTCTCCCATGTCTTTGCAGATCTGACCTGAAACTGATGGGGCACTTCTTATTAGATTGGGCACAATACCAGCCACCTCATGATGCTGGGGGTTAGGAAAGAAAAAGAACCTTAAAAACAAGGTCAGTCTGAGAGTGTGTGCCTGGTTTGATGCCATCTGAAAGTACACTGTGTCCTGAAGCAAATTAAAACCTGGCTAGGGTCTGGGCACAGTGGCTCATGTCTGTAATCCCAGCACTTTGGGAGGCTGAGGCCAGCGGATCACTGGAGGCCAAAAGTTTGAGACCACCCTAGTCAACATAGCAAAACCCCATCTCTACTAAAAAATAAAAAATACAAAAAAATTACCTGGGCATGGTAGCCTATGCTTGTAATCCCAGCTACTCGGGAGGCCGAGGCACGAGAATTGTTTGAACCCGGGAGGCAGAGGTTACAGTGAATGGAGATCGTGCTCCTGCATTCCACCATGGGTGATAGAGTGAGACTCCATCTCAAAGGAAAAAAAGAAAAGAAAAATCTGGCTGGGGAGAGTACTGTGTCCAAATAGAAGTACCAGATTAGCAGAGTGGGAAGTAAAGACAAAAATCAAACTGTGGGCATGGCTGAAGTGCCTACAGGTCATAATTGTGACCATTATCTTGGTGTCTGAACCATAATGTCAAACGGTTTGGCAAATAATAAATAGAAATGACGTGTGTGGAGAGATGAAGTAAATGCTTTCCATTGCTTTCAGCTGGTTATTGGAGGTAAGCAGTATAGAGTAAGGAATTCATGTGCTAGTCTTTAAACATGTCTATAAACTTGAACTTTCTTTACATCTTTTTTTTCCTTTTTGTGGGAAGACAGAGTCTCGCTCTTGCCCAGGCTGGAGTTCAGTGGCTCTGTCTCAGCTCAATACAGCCCCGACCCACTGGGCTCAAGCGATCTTCCCACCTCAGCCTCTTGAGTCAGTGGGACTACAGGCACGCACCACCATGGTTAGCTAATTTTTCTATGTTTTGTAGAGACGAGGTCTCATTATGTTGCCCAGGCTGGCCTCAAACTCCTGGGCCCACCCTCCTCTGCCTCCCAAAGTGCTGGGATTACAGGCAACAAGCCACTGCTCCCAGCCCCCATCACAATGAAAATATAAAAAATTAGATGTATAAATGCAATGTGGGTGTTCAGATTTCTGGTTTAAAATAAGGAAAGACTGGGTACAGTGGCTCTCACCAGTGCTTTGGGAGGCTCCAGCGGGAGGATCGCTTGAGACCAGCCTGGGCAACATAGCAAGACCCCAATCTACGAAATATATGAAAATTAGTTGGTCTTGGTGGTGAATGCCTGCAGCTACTCAGGAAGCGAAGGTGGGAGGATCACTTGAGCCTGGGTGACAGAGCAAGACGCTGTCTCCAAAAAAAAAAAAAAAAAAAAAAAGATGTCTAGAGTTTTTAACAGCTGCTATCAGAGCCATTGGCCTTAGGGGGTGAAGAGGCTTGCTATCAGGGAGCAGCACACCAGGCACTGTTCGGCTGCCAGAATTGTGTGTTCATCAGATTGAGCTGGCAGATAAAATTGGAACAAAAGAGAAAACACAGGAAGCATAGTCCATTGTGGTTTGCCTAGGAACGGGGTAAACAGCCATACTACAGGCAGAGCAGATCTTTATTCTAGTCCTTCACCTCCCAGAATTACCTCTCCCCACAGCATAAGGGTTCTTGAGAAAGACAACAACACCCACGTGGGAGAACTTCTGCCATAACAGACATCATACTGATGCCTCGCCAGTCTCTCTCATCTAGCCTCACTTTATCCTTAACCTCCTGCCACCTGAGGGGGCTCTGGTTTCCACTGCACCCATAAAGTCTTTGAGATGGGCCCTCTGGTCTCACACTTCACAGCTAGAGGGAAGCAGAGTTGGTCTGACTGCTGAGCCCAGCCTTGGCCCATTATGTTACAGAACTTCCAAGGGCATGCAAGGCACCTGGGAGCCAGAGCTTGCTGCATGAATGAGGTGGGCACCATAGGGAGGCAGATGGGGCTAGAGACGTGGTCAAAAGAGACTTGAGTGGGACAGCTCTGCTGGGCTGTAAATGCAGAACCAAAAGGGAGTCTCGGGGAGGGGGGGCACAAAGCATGCAGAGAATGCCGGGGAAGGTCAAGAGCACCCAAGGAGTAGCAGAGGGTAGGAAGTAAGGAGCAGGAGATCTGAGAATCATAAGTAGCATCCACCCATCTACAGTAGTGATGACCCCACTCATTTCTGATCAAATGGTGCTGGTGTTTGAGCAGAGGAGGGCGACAGGCAAGAAACAAACTTATAAGTCAATAGATCAAGTGTCAGGTGGAGCCAAGCATCTGGGATCAATTAAAAGTGGAAGAGGTAGGCACTGGTTGAAAAAGAATGGTCCTGAAAACCTCAGTGCTGACGCTTGAGCAGGGATTTGGAAGGGGCAGGAGAGTGAGCTGTGCCCATATCCAGGCATGAGCACTCAGGTAGTGGCTGCCATGAGTGCTAAGGCCCTGAGGCAGGTGTTTGCCCACTTCATTCAAGGAGCAGCAGGAGGCCAGGATGTCGGAGCAGTGGGAGGGAGAGATGGAGCTGATGGGGGTGGGTGGGGAGACAGGTGTAAAAAGTTGAGCTCTAGTTGGTGGGAGGTCGGAAGACCTTGGATAGTTAACCGAGATGGATGTGATGGGTCACCTTCAGTTTTAACAGGCACACCCAGTGGCTAGATTGAGAATGGCTGTAGGGGAGGCTGGGAGGCCACTGCAGTGACCAGATGCCAGGGATGTTCAAGACCAGGTGGAAAAGGTGGCTGCAGAAGCTGTTGGGTAAATTCACTGTGCTTGCGAGTTGGGTCTCTCCCGTCAGTGCAGCAGCTCTTTGGCATGACCTTGTGGCCCACAGAGGGTCACATTTTCTGCTTGGGACAATGATGACCCTGTGCCTGCAAACAGGATGTTGGGAGTGGGGTAGAATGCTGGTGGAAAGGGATTAGTTTGAGGCATGGGCACTTCCAGATGACCACTTGTAAGATCTCAGTTAACGATGAATCTGCACTGACATATCATAATCACCCAAGAATCCACAGTTTATTTTAGTATTCACATTTGATGTTGTCCAATCTGTGAGATTAGACAAATGTTTAATGACGTGTAACACTATAGAATATTATACAAAGAAGTTTCTCTGACATAAAAGTTCTCTGTGCTCTGCCTATTCATCCCTATCTCTTCCCTAATATCTGAAAACCACTGATTTTTAAAAATATTTATTTATTTTAATTAACTGATCTTTTCTCTGTGTCCATAGTTTTGGTTTTTCCAGCATGTCATGGTTGGAATTACCCACTATGTACTTATTTCAGATTGGCTTCTTTCACTTAGTAATATATGTTTAACTGCACATCTTTTCATGGTTTGATAGTTCATTTATTTTTAGTGCTGAACAGTATTACATTATCTGGATGTATCACAGTTTGTTTATCCAGTCACATACTGAAGGATATCTTGGCTACTCCCAAGTTTTGGCAACTATAAATAAAGCTTCTATAAACATCAAAAAACAAACAAAAAATCTCAGTTGACCTGAGTTTTACAAACCAGGGAACCAGAATATTCTGTTTCTGGTTTCTGTTTAAGAACCTATATCCAGGCCGGGCGCAGTGGCTCACGCCTGTAATCCCCAAACTTTGGGAGTGCGAGACGGGCAGATCATGAGGTCAAGAGATCGAGATCATCATCCTGGCCAACATGGTGAAACCCCGTATCTAATAACAATACAAAAACTAGTTGGACGTGGTGTTGCACACCTGTAGTCCCAGCTACTCAGGACGCTGAGGCAGGAGAATCACTTGAACCTGGGAAGCAGAGGTTGCAGTGAACTGAGATCGCACAACTGCACTCCAATCTGGGTGACAGAGTGAGACTTCGTCTCAAAAACAAAAACGAAAAAAAAGAACCCATACCCTCCATAGGATTAAACATCTGATTTGTACATGACTGGGAATGACCATGGGACAATGGCAAGAATCAGACCTTACGTTTCTGCTTTGCACTTAGGCACACCTTCTCTATTCCTCAAGCTCCACCCACCCCTGTCATACCGTATGCATTACCTATGACTCCCTAGGCAGGGACATGGATGTCTTCGTCATCTTAGTCACCCCAGTTTCCAGTCCAGACTGAGCCCTGGGCTCGACCCATTGTCCCTGGTAACATTGATCTGAAGCTTGGGGTGCATGTGGGTGGGGTGAAGAAGAACTCACCCAGTGGGGGGGAGGGGCTGTTGGTTCGGGGCTCTGCCGCACAGCTGACATGAGCAGTCTGTGCTCAGTGTGTGAGTCCACCTGATACCATGTCCTGCAGCTGCATCTGGGTTCACTGGGTCACTTCTCTTAACAGAGACTGTCATTTGTGGATGTGGCAACAGGATGGCTTGGGCAAGGACTGGGAGTTGCGTGTGGAATGGCATATACTGGCAAGTACTTCAACAGGGCCAGGTATGGCATTTACCTAGAGCCATTTAACTGCCCTGCATCCCCCTTCCTAGAGTCTCGAAATAGCCACCTATCTCCGTGGGGCAGAGAGCCCTGAAGGGCCAGTCCCCATCACATCCCGTGCTGACCCCTCTGGAAGGCGCCTTCCCTTTGCCTCCTCAGATGGCTGTCCCACTCCCCCACCCACAGGTCTGTTTAAAGATTTCAGCTGCTCTTGCCTTTCCGTTCTTTTCCTAGGGTGGATAGCTTTTTTAAAACTTCCGGCATGTTAGTGGGGTCTTGGATGTGTGGGGTTTTTTGTTTTTCTTTCTTCTTTTTTTTGACAGAGTCGTGCTCTGTGGACAGGCTGGAGTGCAGTGGCACCATCTTGGCTCACTGCAACCTCCGCCTCCCAGTTTCAAGCGATTCTCCTGCCTCAGCCTCCCGAGGAACTGAGATTACGGCCATGCACTACCATGCCTGGCTAATTTTTATATTTTTAGTAGAGATGGGGTTTCGCCATCTTGGCCAGGCTGGTCTCGAACTCCTGACCTCAGGTGATCCTTCTGCCTCGGCCTCTCAAAGTGTTGGGATTACAGGCGTGAGCCACTGCACCTGGCCAGGTGTGTTTTCTTGATGCAAGCACTCAATATCGCTGGTTGTGGAGGAGTTTATTTCATAGCAGAACATGTTCCCAAGGTGGGATTTTTGATTGTTGTGATTATTTTAAATAAGTTGTAAGATCAGAACTAGAAGGGGGCAGCCGGGCACTGTGGCTCACGCCTGTAATCCCAGCACTTTGTAATCCCAGCACTTTGGGAGGCTGAGGAGAGCAGATCACCTGAGGTCAGAAGTTCAAGACCAGCCAGGCCAACGTAGTGAAACACCCTGTCTCTTAAAGTACAAAAATTAGCCGAGCATGGTCTTGCAGGCCTATAATCTAAACTACTCGGGAGGCTGAGGCAGGAGAATTGCTTGAACCCAGGAGGTGGAGGTTGTGGTGAGCTGAGATCACGCCACTGTACTCCAGCCTGGGTGACAGAGCGAGACTCTGTCTCAAAAAAAAAAATCTTAGAAGGTGGCAATGCTGTAAAAGGAAACTTGGCAGGAATTTGAATGTGTAAGTGTTCGGGGGACTTAAGGGGGCTGCTTTCTTCCCCTTTCATTTGGCCCTGTTTGCTGGTTGATGAGGAAATGCAGAAGAACTTGAAAGTTGCTTTACAGCTAGAATGAGAAAACTATAGCCAAAGACAAAGCCTGTTTGTGAGGCCCAGGCTTTCCACGCTTGGCTTCCTTAGCTGCCAGGTTGGGGCAGAGTTGATGAGGAAAATTGCGCTGGGAAGCCAATGATCTGGAGCAGCCCCTCCAGTTGCTTCCATTTCTCCTGAAATGCATTTGCTTGGTTGGTCCAGATGAGCCCCCGCAGGGTCCTAAACCTCTCTTCTCTTGCTCCAGCTACCGGGTGTTCTGCCTCATGAGTGACGGCGAGTCCTCAGAAGGCTCTGTCTGGGAGGCAATGGCCTTTGCTTCGTACTACAGTCTGGACAATCTCGTGGCGATCTTTGATGTGAACCGCCTGGGACACAGTGGTGCGCTGCCCTCTGAGCACAGCATAGACATCTATCAGAGGCGCTGCGAAGCCTTCGGGTAACTGTATTCTATGGTGCTTGATTTCCATTCTGTCCCACCCCCTTCATCTCTTGTAATGCAGCCTGCTCCTCTGTTGGCAGGTGGAACACTTACGTGGCGGACGGCCGGGACGTGGAGGCACTGTGCCAGGTGTTCTGGCGGGCCTCTCAGGTGAAGCACAAACCCACTGCTGTGGTGGCCAAGACCTTCAAGGGCCGGGGCACACCAAGTAAGCAAGCGTTTTCTTCCTGTCCGCTCAGCAGAAGAGACAGGAGAGGCCTAGCCGGGTCTAGGCGGATGGCTGATTTAGTGAATGCACTTCTGCCCGAGTATATGCTAGAGGCTCCTGCTCCCTTCTTTCCACTAGCTAGTGTCTGCTTAGGATAGGAGGGGACATCAAAAGCCCTAGCAGGTGAATAGTGATGTTTTATCTGCACGAGGGAGTGGCTAGGAGTACAGCCCATCAGAGGACTGATGAGGAACAGTCTCTACGGTTATAGAATCAGAAAGGGTTCTGTGTGAGCAGGTGCAGAAATCAGAGTGTGCATACGGACACACATGCCTAGACCCACACCATGTGGAAGAACCCTGGGAGCTGGGGAAGAAGGGAGCTTGGAATAACCAACTAGCACATTTCAAGGCTGACAGCTGAAATTGTTTATCTCAAGCTTAACTCATTACAAAGAGTGTGATTCCTGGTTTTTTTCAAAAGACTATAGACATTTTAGAATAAAACTGTTCTGACTCCTTCCGAAAATATAGTTTTACTCTGGTACCTTCTGTTCAGTAAATGATTTTACCAGTGTGCACCTGGCAGAACCCTGGGTCTTGTCCTTGCCTCTGCCTCCCCTCATGCCCACACACACACCCAGTACCCTAGCTTGCATCTTGGATCCATTCCCTCCTCCGCATCTCTACTCCCATGATGCCACACGTATCATCTCTCCCAAAGTTCCAGTCAACCTCCCTCCACAGCAGTCTCTACACTGCTGCCACAGTGATCTTTCTATACTGGATCTCATCAGTCACTTTCCCCACTGCAGACCCTTCAGTGGTTTCCAGTCTTGCTTTGGATGAAACTCAAACTCCTTATACCCACAAGACCCACCCTCCATGATTGGCCATACCTGTCTCTCCAGCCGTGTCTTCTCATTCTCACTTCCACTCACCAGTGGCCCTCAGGGGCATAGCTAGGTGTGGTGGCTTGCACCTATAATCCCAGCTACTTAGGAGGCAGAGGCAGGAGGATCACTTGAGCCCAAGGAGTTGGAAGCTGTGGTGAGTTATGATCACACCACTGCACTCCATCCAGCCTGGGGAGTCATAGTGTGAGACCCCCATCTCAAAACAAAACAAAAAGCCTCAGGGCCTTTATCCAAGCTATTTTCTCTGGCTGCACCAGCATCCCAGGCCTTCTTTGCCAGGTCCTCCTGGGAGTCCTAAGATGACGTCTTTTTCAGGTGACCTCATAGGCACTCGTCAAACATTTATGGAATGGGCTGGGCCCAGGCACTTTGGGAGACCAAGGTGGGTGGATCACGAGGTCAAGAGATCGAGACCATCCTGGTCAACATGGTGAAACCCCGTCTCTACTAAAAATACAAAAAATTAGCTGGGCATGGTGGTGCGTGCCTGTAATCCCAGCTACTCGGGAGGCTGAGGCAGGAGAATTGCCTGAACCCAGGAGGCGGAGGTTGCGGTGAGCCAAGATCGCGCCATTGCACTCCAGCCTCGGTAACAAGAGCGAAACTCCATCTCAAAAAAAAAAAAAAAGCATTTATTTGTTTCCTTACAGGTATGGAGGATGCAGAAAGTTGGCATGGAAAGCCAATGCCAAGAGAAAGAGCAGATGCCATTATCAAATTAATTGAGAGCCAGATAGAAACCAGCAGGAACCTTGATCCACAGCCCCCCATCGAGGACTTCCCTGAAATCAACATCATGGATGTAAGGATGACCCCTCCACCTGATTACAGAGTTGGTGACAAGGTAGGCAGAAAGTTGGAGAATTGGATAAATCAGGGACATCACCTACTTTGTTCTCTAATGTTCTTATATATGCAGGATTCTTCATTTATTCTGGTCTCCATGGACGAACCAATTAGTAGTGTGACATATAACTAACAGTTTATAAACAATAAAAATAAGTTTACCATTTTTAAAAAATAGCTTTAGGGGTGCAAAGTGCAGTTGTGTCACATGGATGTCCATGTCATGGTGAGATCTGGGCTTTCGGTGCACCCAGCACCTGAGTAGTGGACATTGCACCCAGTAGGAAGTACTTCACCCCTCACCACTCCTACCCTGCCTTCTCTTTTACTAGGTCTGATTTTTATTTTTTGCTTTCACACATGCGTCTGAATTTTCTGATTGGTCATTTGCTATTTATTAGCTCCTGGGGTGGTGCGCCTCTTTCTTGCTTCCTAACTTTGGTTTGTGCACAAAACTGCCACAATTTTGTGTCTGCGCCAAAAATAGTGGCCCCAGGCTGGCTGATCTTTTGAACTTACTCTCTAAATTACACACAAAAGCAGACCAATTCATCAAGAACCTCAAAAAGGAATCAAACTATGCACAAAACCCTGGACATCAAGTCCTTTTGGTTTTCAGCACATTTCTATCCTGTCTTCTGGTATATTATAGCAGACCCAGCATAGGCAGGTTCTTCATGGCCTGGAGGAAGTAAGGTGGCGAGCCTGGGAGGACGGACACACTTTCTGACTCTTCTTTAGTTGGAGAAATTTTGAGTGTTGCTTATGTTTTCTTAGCCTGGTAGTGAGGGTTTAAAAATAAATGAATGGTGAATATTTGAGAAATCAGAAGAAAACAAAAACCAGAAGGAAGAAAAAGGCTTATCACGGAAGGGTAGGCCAGGCACAGTGGCTCACACCTGTAATCCCAGCACTATTAGGAGGCCAAGACAGGAAGACCACTTAAGCCCAGGAGTTCAAGACTAGTCTGGGCAAAGTAGTGAGACCCCATCTCTACATATAATTGAAAAATTAGCCGAGCATGGTGGCATAATGTGGTCCCAGCTACTTTGGAGGCTGAGGCAGGAGGATCACCTGAGCTCAGGAGTTTGAGGGAACAGTGAGCCATGATTGGGCCCCTGCACTCCAGCCTGGGCAACAGAGTGATGTGCTATCTCAAAGAAACAAAGGGTGCTCTGGCACTATGTGTTAACACTTTAACTGTTCACAGTACAACTTAAAGGAATTTATCCTACAGAAATACCCATCTGCAGATATGCCTATGGGAATGAATGTTGATTGCAACATTGGTTATGATACCAAAATTGCAGACAACTCAGCAAGAAAGGCTAAGAGCTTCCCCAGTAAGTTAGTAAATCTTTTTTTTTTTTTTTTTTTTTGAGATGCAATCTCACTCTGTCACCCAGGCTAGAGTGCAGTGGCATGATCTCTGCTCACTGTAACCTCCGCCTCCCAGGTTCAGGTGACTCTCCTGCTTCAGCCTCCTGAGTATCTGGGACTACAGGCACCCACTACCACACCCAACTAATTTTTGTCTTTTTTTTTTTTTTTTGAGATGGAGTCTTACTCTGTCACCAGACTGAGGTACAGTGGTGTGATCTTGCTTCACTGCAACGTCCGCCTCCCGGATTCAAGCGATTCTCCTGCCTCGGCTTCCTGAGTAGCTGGGACTACAGGCACCTGCCACCACGCCCAGCTAATTTTTTTATATTTTAGTAGAGATGAGGTTTCACCGTGTTGGCCAGGATGGTCTCGATCTCCTGACCTCGTGATCCGCCTGCCTCGGCCTCCCAAAGTGTTGGGATTACAGGCCTGAGCCACTGTACCCGGCCTAACCAGCTGATTTTTGTATTTTTAGTAGAGACAGGGTTCCACCATTTTGGACAGGCTGGTCTCAAACTCCTGACCTTGTGATCCGCCTGCCTCAGCTTCCAAAAGTGCTGGGATTACAGGCGTGAGCCACCGCGCCCAGCCAGTAAATCTTTTTAGGTTGCAAAACAGCATAGAGTATATTTCTATTTGTGTGTAGGAAATCTTAAAAAGGGGTTATTATACATTATTATAAGGCGTAGAAAATTATATTTGGAGAAATGACACCAAATTGCTGCGTTTGTCTGTAGAATGTGAAATTATGGGAACTTCAATTTTTTTAAAAGAAGTATGAATAGAGGCCAGTCTCAGTGCCTCACACCTGTAATCTCAACACTTTGGGAGGTCAAGGCAGGAGGATCACTTGAGCCCAGGCATTCAAAACCAGCCTGAGCAACATAGTGAGACCCTGTCTCTTAAAAAAAAGGTAGGGGGTGGACGTGGTGGCTTACACCTGTAATCCTAGCACTTTGGGAGGCCAAGGCAGGCGGATTGCCTGAGTTCTGGAGTTCGAGACCAGCTTGGGCAACACAGTGAAACCCTATCTCTACTAAAATACAAAAAATTGGCCAGGCATGGCAGCGTGTGCCTGTGGTCACAGCTACTCAGGAGCCTGAGACAGGAGAATTGCTTGAACCCGGGTGGCAGAGATTGCAGTGAGCAGAAATTGTGCCACTGAATTCTAGCCTGGGTGACAGAACAAGACTCCATCTCCCCTCACCGACCAAAAAAAATGAAGTATGAATAGGACAAAATTTATTTATTTATTTTTTTTCCCATTTATTTATTTTATTGCATTTTGGGTTTTGGGGTACATGTGAAGAACATGCAAAATTGTTGCATAGGAACACACATGGCAGTGTGATTTGCTGCCTTCCTCCCCATCACCTACATCTGGCATTTCTCCCCCTGTCATCCCTCCCCAGCTTCCCACCCCCCACCCTCCCTCCCCTATTTCCCCCCAACTGACCCCAATGTGTAGTGCTCCCCTCCCTGTGTCCATGTGTTCTCATTGTTCAACACCCGCCTATGAGTGAGAACATGCGGTGTTTGATCCTCTGCTCTTCTGTCAGTTTGCTGAGAATGATGGTTTCCAGGTTCATCCATGTCCCTACAAAGGACACGAACTCATCGTTTTTGATGGCTGCATAATATTCCATGGTGTATATGTGCCACATTTTCCCTATCCAGTCTATCATCGATGGGCATTTGGGTTGGTTCCAGGTCTTTGCTATTGTAAACAGTGCTGCAATGAACATTCGTGTGCACGTGTCCTTATAGTAGAACGATTTGTAATCCTTTGGATATATACCTAGTAATGGGATTGCTGGGTCAAATGGAATTTCTATTTCTAGGTCCTTGAGGAATCTCCACACTGTCTTCCACAATGGTTGAACTAATTTACACTCCCACCAACAGTGTAAAAGTGTTCCTATTTCTCCACATCCTCTCCAGCATCTGTTGTCTCCAGATTTTTTAATGATCACCATTCTAACTGGACAAAATTTATTAAGGAAGCAAGCCAGTTTATCAAAAGTCAGTGAATTCAAAAAGAAGCCACATGAATGGGGTACAGATCTAAGAGCTGGCTCTTTGATTGCTGATCTATTAGACAAGCCATTAATCAAGGGGATAAAAACATAAATACGTGAACTTAGTCATTGGAAAGAGATTATGACAGATGCAGAGAGCATTTAAAGAATTAGGAGAAGACTCAGCCTGGCCAACATGATGAAACTCCGTTTCTACTACAAATACAAAAATTAGTTGGGTGTGGTAGTGCACGCCTGTAATCCCAGCTACTCAGGAGGCTGAGGCAGGAGAATCGCCTGAACCTAGGAGGCGGGAGGAGGTTGCTGTGAGTTCTGCACTCCTGTACTCGACTCGGCAACATAGCGAGACACTGTCTCAAAAAAAAAAAAAGAATTTTGAGAAAACTGTATAACTCCATAGATGTATGATTGGTATGAAAATGTAAAAAGGGCAGGAGCGTTTTTAGGAATGCATAAAATACCAAAGTGACTAAAAGAGGTTCAAAAAACTTAAATGGATCAGTAGCCCTAGAAAAAATGGAGAAAACTATCCAGGCACTATACCTCCAAAGCAGCCAGGCTCACTAGGTTAGTAAGAGTGACTGACTAACTTTTAACCTTTATGAAAAGAGTGATTTCTAAACTGTTGCAAATTTTTTCCCAGTACAGAGGAAGGTGAAAATGGCATCCTGATTCATTTGTGAAGTGAAAATGTGACAAAGCTAGCCTAAAGAAAACTGTAGAGCAACTTGATTTATGAATACCAACATAAAAATTATAAACAGAACGTTAACTCATCTCAGCTGCATTAGTACATTAAAAAAATTAAATGAATCCATGAGCTCAAATTAGTAATGCAGATGACTCAAGCCAGGAGACATAGGAATAGAATTCACTGTTCTACTATTAGGTCAAAGGAAGTGGGGGTCAGGGGAAGTAAACAAAAACAATTCATAAAATTCAACATCTTTTTATTTTTTTTTGAGATGGAGTCTCGCTGAGTCACCCAGGCTGGAGCGCAGTGGCACAATCTCGGCTCACTGCAACCTCTGCCTCCTGGGTTCAAGCGATTCACCTGCCTCAGCCTCCCAAGTAGCTGGGACTACAGGCACCCGCCACCATGCCCAGCTAATTTTTTTGTATTTTAGTAGAGACGGTGTTTTACCATGTTGGCCAGGCCTGGTCTTGAACTCCTGAGCTCAGGTGATCTGCCTGGCTCAGCCTCCCAAAGTGCTGGGATTACAGGTATGAGTCATTGTGCCTAGTCAAGTAATTTGAAAAATATGCTAAGAACTAGTAATGTCAGAAATCTCACCCTAGAGCTGTGGAGCATTCGCCTGCTTGAGAAGTGGGGGCCCGGGATGGAGGTAACTAAAAAGAGCACACTTTGAGAAAAACTGCTTGCCACATCAGCCGTTTAGCATGGGTTTAAGATTGACTAACAATCCATGTTTATGACATTAAAGGAAATTTTTGGTGAATCACAAATCTACTTTCTCCAAGAGAGATGACAATTTGTCATTCTACAATATGGTACCTTCCTTCTGTAGTCGTTCTTTCTAAATGCATTTGAAGAAACTCTACCACCTGATTCTTTATTTCTTCTAGATAGCTACTCGGAAAGCATGTGGCTTGGCTCTGGCTAAGCTGGGCGATGCAAACGACAGAGTCATTGTGCTGGATGGCGACACCAAGTACTCTACCTTTTCTGAGATATTCAACAAAGAGTACCCTGAGCGTTTCATCGAGTGCTTTATGGCTGAACAAAACATGGTGAGTGTGTAGTGTCTCCTGGGGATTCTCATAATCCATGGCCCATTGGACACAGGAGGCCCAGCCTGTGCTAGTTTTTCTTTCAATTTCTGAATGCAAAAGGACTGGGAAAAAATCTCCAGGGAAACAGGAGGCAGGTAGCCAGGTAGAGTCTGAAAGGTGGCTTCTAGGTGTGCTAGGAGAGCTGGAATAGACTACTCATCTGTGAGCACCCTTTCAAAGTTGGCTGAGGGCAGCAGGCCCAAGGCCACAGACAGTGGGTCCTCTGAGCCTAGAGCCATCTGAAGCCAGGGCTCTGGGCCTGAAGCATCCCAAGCTCCCTAGTAGCTCCCTCTGCCCAATTCTACCACCACCCGGAGGCACATCAGTTGAGGAGCCACAGAGAATGCAGGGTGTTTTCTCTTCACCGTAAAGGGGCCTCATACACGATAGAGATGCAAATATTGCACTCACTGCAGTCACAAAAGTAACAATACTTAGAGCTGGTGCCTTAGGCGAAGCCATTCTGCTTATCTGTGCCTCAGTCTCTCCCCAGAGTTATACTAATGCAAGGAGTATCTGAAGCACACGCACACAAGCACACCCCTCTCGAGAGGAAGGAGTTAATGCCAGTGAGCCCTTTGAATGCTGAAGCTCTGTGCATCATAGAAGATGATGCCCGTCTCCCGCCATCATGATGCAGAGGCCAGAAAAGCACTGGGTACCTCAGTGATTCTAGCCAGAAAACCACAGGCCAGCTGGACTTATTTACAGTAAGTTTAATTGGAATAAGTAGTATTTAAAATTTTTTTTAAATTAGTTGTCGGCATTTAAAAATCAGGAGATTACAGGTGTGGTTGCACGAGCCTGCAGTCCCAGCTACTCGGGACACTGAGGCAGGAGGATGCTTGATACCAGGACTTTGAGGCTGCTGTGTACTGCTGCATTCCAGCCTGTTAGACAGCAAGACCCCCTCTCAAAAAAGAAAAAGAATCAGGAGATCTTATTAGAATACACATTTCTGGATTCTGTTGAAAAATGGGAAGAAGTTCCACCACAGGGTGGCATTCCCTCCTGATGCCAGTTGACTGAAGTCAGACAGCAGCCCTGTTGAGATGTGCTCCCAGCCAGCTCCCCATGCTCCCCACCCTCTGCCAGACCAGTTGTCCAGCACTGTCGCCAAGGCTGGAGTGCAGTGGCACAATCTCGGCTCACTGCAACCTCTGCCTCCCAGGTTCAGGTGATTCCCTTGCCTCACCCTCCCAAGTAGTTGGGATTACAGACGTGCGCCACCACGCGCTAATTTTTGTATTTTTCGTGGAGACGGGGATTCACTGCTTTGGTCAGGCTGGTCTCAAACTCCTGACCTCAGGTGACCCGCCTATCTCGGCCTCCCAAAGTGCTGGGATTACAGGCGTGAGCCCCCGAGCCTGGCTCGTTAAGCTGTTTTCGTTTTGAACGGAAAACAATGCAATCTATAATTTTCCAGATTGATGCTCCTATCGGAAAGCTGGCTCCCTGCCTCACTGATGCTCTCAGTGCACAGCCATGTCGTCTACTCTGTGCCTGCTGACATGTTCTCACAGTTGGAAAAAATTGTGAAGAAGAGGCGAGCAGGTGTTATGTAGTGCCATGCTGAAAGAGGTGGCTACAGTGTAAGAGCTTGACCAGGGGCCGATCAGGGACAGCCTCTCAGCACAGGTGATACTTAAGCTGCATCTCAGGTGATGAGGAGTCAGCTGTGCACAGATGTGGGAGACCGCATCCCAAGCAGGGGCCATGGCCATCTGGAGGCAGGCCCAGGCTTGGGATGTTTAGGGAGCAGAGGGAAAGCCAGATGGCAGAAGCATGGTGAATGCAGAGAGGTCTCCAGGGCCAGGTCACACGGGGCCTTCGAGGGGCGCTGTTCAGCATCTCTGCTTCTCTTGCAGTTTGCTGGGAAGCCACTGGAGGGCTTTAAGCAGGAGAGCAGCAGCCTGCGTTTTCTGAAACTCTGAAGAGTGGAGAATGGCTTCATTCAGGAAAGGGAGGGAAAGGAGAGGGTGGCTTGGACCAGGGCAGTAGCTGTGGAGTCAGAGAAAAGCAGACTTGTCATATATTGCCTTATCAGGAGAGCCAGCAGGATGCCCAGCAGCAGGTGTCAGGGCAAGAACCAAGGTTGGCACTCGAATGTGGGCAGCAGCACCTGGGGGAAGGTGGTGTCACCTCTTGAGATTGACAAGATTGGGAGAAGAGTAGACCGGGGACACCAACAGGAGCTCTGTGTGGGCCCAGGGGGTCAGAGCACCTGTTAGATGTGCGGGGGGAGACAGTGGTGTCGGATGGTTGGGTAGTAGATCAGTCATTTTCACATGTTCTGCTCCATACCACTAAATGCAGTTTTCTAAACTACATATCCCTTGTCCTAGTTTTAAGCTGACATCGTTTTTTTGTTTTTATTTTTTGTAATGTAGAGATGGAGTCTTGCTCTGTCGCCCAGGCTGGAATGCAGTGGCGCAGTCATGGCTCACTGCAGCCTCAAACTCCTGAGCTCAAGGGATCCTCTGGCCTCAGCCTCCTGAGGAGCTGGGACTATGAGCATGAGCCACCACACCTGGCCACATCTAAATTTTTAGTCACAAATTTAAATAGTTGCAAAGGATATAGTTGCTCATATGTTGACCTTTTTGATACTTTAATACTCAAATTGTGCAATTAAAGATGACATTGGCTGGGCATAGTGGCTCACACCTGTAATCCCAGCACTTTGGGAGGCTGAAGCTGGAGGATTGCTGGAGTTCAGGAGTTCAAGACCAGCCTTGAACAACAGTGAGACCTGGTCTCTAATTTTTAAAAAATTCATGCCAAGCCACTTTTGTTTGTCAGAAATTAAATCCCTTTTTCTACGTGGTTTCCAATTTCCATTCGATTCATTTCCCCAATATATCTTTATGCATGAAAGCCTTTTATTGATTGTCCTATCATTTTTTTGCAACAAAAGTATGCATATAAATTGATAGCTTTTTAAAAAAAATTATAGGCCTCTGAGCATTAGATTTTTTTCTGGACTGAGATACAGTTTTTATTATTGGCTTGCATGTTAGTGGATGAACATACTTGTAATTTGAATGTGATAACATTCAGAACAGATTCTATTCCTGTTTTTCATTTTAATGATGTAAGTGCTATGAAACCTTACATAAATAAGTAGATGGGAAGGGAAATTTTGTTGGAGGAATGTCACTCAATTCTTTAAATTCCTTCCCAGTTATAAGCCAAAAAAATCACAATCACATAGCGATCTTTCATGTAAAGTTGTTTATAAAAATTACTTACAGAGGCCGGGCGCGGTGGCTCACGCCTGTAATCCCAGCACTTTGGGAGGCCGAGGTAGGTGGATCATGAGGTCTGGAGATCGAGACCATCCTGGCCAACATGGTAAAACCCCGTCTCTACTAATAAAGACAAAAAAGCAGCTGGGCGCGGTGGCTCACGCCTGTAATCCCAGCACTTTGGGAGGCCGAGGTAGGTGGATCATGAGGTCTGGAGATCGAGACCATCCTGGCCAACATGGTGAAACCCCGTCTCTACTAAAAGACAAAAAAGCAGCTGGGCGCGGTGGTGCACACCTGTAGTCCAAACTACCTACTTGGGAGGCTGAGGCAGGAGAATCGCTTGAACTCAGGAGGTGGAGGTTGCAGTGAGCTAAGATCACACCACTGCACTCCATCCTGGCTACACAGACCAAGACTTCATCTCAAAAAAAAAAAAAAAAAAAAATTACTTGCAGAGTTGACCGTTTCATTAATTAAGTTTGTTTTCTCTTCACCAGTATACTTATTTCAAATTTTGTCTTCTTTACTTGGCTCTGGAGGTTCTATACTCCAGGATGATCCTCCTGTAAGAGTCAGGTAGCTGAGAGCATGCCCTTTGGGGATCAGGTTGCTAGAAGGTGATTGTTAAAAGAGACAGTGGGAGATTTGGGGGCGGTGGCCTACACCTGTAGGTAGCTAACACCTGTAATCCCAGCACTTTGGGAGGCTGGCTGAGGCAGGTGGATCACCTGAGATCAGGAGTTCGAGATCAGCCTGGCCAACATGGTGAAACTTCCTACTAAAAGTAGAAAAATTAGCTGGGCATTGTGGCAGGTGCCTGTAATCCCAGCTACTCAGGAAGCTGAGGCACGAGAATCGCTTGAACCTGGGAGGCGGAGGTTGCAGTGAGCAGAGATCACGCCACTGCACTCCAGCCTGGGCAACAGAGCAAGACTTGCATGTCTCCAAAAAAAAAAAAAAAAAAAAAACAGAGGGGAACACAGACCCTCTTTTTGGCAAATGAATGTAGACAGAGTTGATCTGGAGTTGCGGACCTTGAGTGGAACACCCACAGCCACATCCCCCTTAGAAAGCCTGTGTCACCCCAGGGAGGTTTGAGTTCTAGTTTGAAGCCTACTGGGATATTTGAGTTCAGACTTCTGGGAAAGCGGGGCAAGGAATAGCAGTGTAAAGTGGGGGTCATTACCAGAATGCAGATCAGGGGAGCACTGGGCCAGAGGCGACTTCCTGACGGTGCACAGGGCCCTGAGGACTTGCCCCAGCAGCACCCATGAGGCGACAGGAGGAAACGATCAGGGGCCAAGTCAAGTCACAGCCAGCCGAGGTCCAGAAGCTTCTTGGTTTTGTGGCTTCGAGGTCCCTCATGGGGATGGTAGCCTAGATGAAGTAGGTTGGGAAGACCGTGGGAAATGAGAAGGCAGGGGCAATGACTGTATACAATTTGTGAGAACTTCACTGCAGAAAACCCAGATGTGGGGCAAGCTCTGGAGGCAGGACAAGGCGGAGGTGGGGCGGGAAGATTAAAAGTGCTTGCACACTCCTGAATGGAAATTAAGTGATCCAAGAGAAAGGGAAGTAGCACAAGAGGGGGAGAGGAAGCTGCATGGCGGGAGACCCCTGTGAGGAAGCAGGAACAGGCCAGGATTCAGGATGACCCGGTGGGGCGTGGACCCTGGAAAGCTGTGGGCACCAAGAGGGCAGGCGGAGGAGACTAATCTCTTGCTCCCTAGGAGCTATGAGGTAAGGGCACCGTCTGAGCAGGAAGGACGGACGGGTGCCCAGGGTTTGAGGAAAGAGGGGCGTGGGAAGGACACACGCTAGAACTGAGAGCAGTTCAGCAGGTGCAGAATAGTGGTTACCATGGGGGCTGTGGGGAAGGGGTGGTGGGGGCAGTGTCCAGGGATGTTACTATTCGTGTTCTCTGTGTTGCAGGTGAGCGTGGCGCTGGGCTGTGCCTCCCATGGGCGGACCATTGCATTTGTTAGCACCTTTGCTGCCTTTCTGACCCGAGCATTTGATCAGATCCGGATGGGAGCCATCTCTGAAAGCAACATCAACATTATTGGCTCCCACTGTGGGGTATCTGTGGGTAAGGGTTCTAAATGCCATCATTTTGGTAGCTCTCCTCCTTCACAGAGAAAAATGAACATGGAATAGGTTAAACCGTGAATTTCCTTATGGTTCCATGAAGTTTGATTATTCAGGCCTTTTTGTTTGAAAAAGCCATATTGTATTTTAAAGTATCAGGCAGTCGGCAACTTTTGAAGTGTGTCTGTCGGTGGTGCTGTTGACTGTCCCACTTTCAGACTGTGAAAAGCGGCTGCTGATCCTGAGTGACCCTTCTGTGTTGAGGTGTGTGCAGATTATGGACAGGGGTAGCAGGGTCGTGGACCCCTTTCTGCCCTCGCTGTGGTTGCAGTCTTGAGCGTGAACCGAATGAACAGAGGAAAACAAGAATTCTGGCTGGCTGCATAGCCAGCTCAGGTGGGAGGGGGGCTGGACCGCCACCCCTACCTTCCTGCCTGGAGCAGCAGGAACCCTGGAACATGATACAAGGCAAGTAACTTACAAACACGCCCTTCTCAGAATAGCATTAACCTGGCAGGTGGGCTAGAAGGAAACCACAGGCAACGGGAAGCCAGAGAGGGGATTGAAACCAGGTGTGCAAGGTGGTAGGGGAGGAAGCCGGGAGTGGGGGATCTGAGAGTGAAAGAGGTGAGTGTGTCTAACAGATGGAGCGCTCTGCAATGGTGTGAAAAAACACAAGTCTCCAGGGTTTTCTCTCTTGGGAAACATCAGGGAGTCATTTTCTTGAACAACAGAAATAACATGGGAAAGATGAGCCAGCTGGCGTGCCTGTGGCAGGCAGGTGGGCTCAGTAGGTGTGGCTGCACACACTTGCTTCTAGAATGCTGGAGGTGCATACTGGGAGTCAGCTCAGGGACTCCTTGGGAAAATGAGGCTGGATGAGATGGCTCTAGAGGGAGCTGGAATCACAACTGTCTGGGTGAAACTGGAGGCGCAGCAGCATTGCAGGGGCAGAAGGGCCTAGGAAAGGGGCCCTGAGTCCACCTGCAGCTGTGCTCAGTGTCCGTTTTGAAATAGTCACATGGAGAAGTGGCTCTAGATCCAATCCAAAGAAGAGGCGGAAGGCTGAACACAGGGGCTCAGGCCTGTAATCCCAGCGCCCAGTGAAACGCTGTCTCTACTAAAAATAGAAAACTAGCTGGGCCTGGTGGCATGCGCCTGTATTCCCAGCTTCTCGGGAGGCTGAGACAGGAGGCAGAGGCTGCAGTGAGCCAAGATCACACCACTGCACTCCAGCCTGGAGACAGAACCAGACTCTCTCTCAAAAAAGAAAAAAAAAGTCTGGCACAGTTGCTCACACCTGTAATCGCAGCACTTTGGGAGGCTGAGGTAGGTGGATCACCCAAGGAGGTCAGGAGTTCCAGACCAGCCTGACTAACATGGTGAAACCTCGTCTCTACTACAAAAATTAGGCATGGTGGCTGGTGCCTGTACTCCCAGCTACATGGGAGGCTGAGACAGGAGAATCACTTGAACCCGGGAGGCGGAAGTTGCAGTGAGCTGAGATTGTGCCACTGCACTCCAGCCTAGGCAACAGAGTGAGACTCCATCTCAAAAAAAAAAAAATTTTTTTTTTTAAAAAAAGCTGAGCTGTTAGAGGTTAGACAGTTGTCCTAGGCAAGGCAGTGTGCATGGTGACAGTCCCCTGTCCCCTTCCTAGCTGAGAAGAGCTAAGCTGCCCAGTGCACATTAAGATTTCTTTTTCACATTTCTGGCCAGAAACTCTGTTCCCAGATATACCCTAAAGCACCCTGTAGCACCCCCAGAGTGCCTTAAAGGAGTGCTAGCTACTTGGAAGGCCCGGAGAAATGCAAAAGACCACTGCTATGCAAAACCCAATCTCTGGGTGTAGAAAAGAGACGGCAGACCTTGGAGAACAAAGCTGAGAACAGGGTGTCAGAGGCTTAGCAGGGAAAACTCAGGCCACCAATGCTCAGCCATCGTGGACAGTAGCTTGGAGTGTTCCATCTGAAGAGTCAGCTGGGAGCCTAACCTGAGGTGTCACAGTGTAATCTCAAGGGAGACAGATGTGCAAGAACACAACACGAATTAGTTACAAGGATGCAGTCAGACCATTTATGGGGCTCTGACCGCATGGCAATAGGAATAATTGGTTCTTCAGAGCTAGAAGGGGACGGAGGGCGGTTTCTCATGGGGTTATGCTCATGTTTTCATCGGGCTGTGGTTCTCTTAGGTGAAGATGGCGCTTCCCAGATGGCCCTGGATGATATAGCCATGTTCCGAACCATTCCCATGTGCACCATTTTCTATCCAAGTGATGCCGTCTCTACGGAGCATGCTGTTTCTCTGGCAGCCAATGCCAAGGTATCTTTAGGGGGACACTAGTTTCATACTGATGATTGGGTTTTTTTCTCAGCATAAAAGTGATATTCATGATAGAAACTTTGGTGATAGAATTCTTTACAAAAACAGGTGATTATGCATATGAATACATTTGCTTTGTAAAAGATTCAAACAGTGCAGGATATTGAACAAAACCTAACTACCTGTCTCATCAGGTCTCAGCAGAAGAACCAGGGACCGTTTTGAGTATTGTAAACAGGAGAAGGTGTTTAACAGAGGGTGCTTTGGAAGCAGCAGGAGCAAGCTCCAGGCAGAGTCCAGATTGTATGTACCATTAGCCCCGGTGGCTGCAGCCAGGGGTGAAGAAGCTCCTGCTGCCTCCAGACATCCAGGAAGCTGGAGAGCAGGTGATAGGAGCCACTGCAGATGGACCCTGGGGTAAGAGTGTGGGATGTTGTACAAAGGCCTCAGACGGACAGAATCCAATTCCTGTTCAGAACCGAGCTGCACAGGAGACAAGGCAGCGTGCTCTTGATCTTTCCAGCCTCTCCCACTAACTTTCAGCAGGTGCCCCTTACCACCCTGCACCTCACCCGCGCCCCACACAGGTAACCCCTGGCACAGTCAAGGTGGGTACTGTACGTTTCCTTTCCAAGCACTCATGGTCATTTCTTTGACTTTTTTTTATAAGTGGGCTCCCACTTTACATACTATCCTGTACTTTTTTTTTTTTTTTTTGAGACAGACTCTTGATCTGTCGCCCAGGCTGGAGTGCAGTGGCGCGATCCCAGGTCACTCCAACCTCCACGTCCTGGGTTCAAGCAGTTCTCTGCCTCAGCCTCCCGAGTAGCTAGGATTACTGGCGCCTGCCACCACACCTGGCTAATTTTTGTATTTTTCATAGAGACGAGGTTTCACCACGTTGGCCAGGCTGGTCTTAACACCTGACCTCGTGATCCATCCGCTTCGGCCTCCCAAAGTGCTAGATTTACAGGCGTAAGCTGTCACACCCTGCCTAATTTTTGTATTTTTTGGGAGAGATGGGGCTTCGCCACGTTGGCCAGGTTAGTCTCAAAATTCTTGGCCTCAAGTGATCCACCCGCCTTGGCCTCCCTAAGTGCTGGGATTACAGGCATGAGCAACTGAGTCTGGCCAATTGCATACTTCTAAACTTAGTTTATCTTGGAGATTGTTCTATGATTTCACACATGCTGTAGGATTTCATTTCTAAAAAGGTCAAGAGAGGCAAAACAAGATTAGGTGACAGAAATCAGAAGCCGGGCACAGTGACTCACACATGTAATCCCAGCACTTTGGGAGGCCAAGGCGGGTAGATGACAGCGTCAGGAGATTGAGACCATCCTGGCTAACACAGTGAAACTCCGTCTCTACTAAAAATACAAAAAATTAGCTGGGCGTGGTGGCACGCCCCTGTAGTCCCACCTACTCGAGAGGCTGAGGCAGGAGAATCTCTTGAACCCGGGAGGCAGAGGTTACAGTGAGCTGAGATCGCACCACTGCACTCCAGCCTGGGCAAGAGAGTGAGACTTTGTCTCAAAAAACAAAACAAACAAAAAGAAATGAGAGTAGAGGTTGCTTCTTAGTAGGGGGAGAGTGACTGGAAAGAGGCGCTGGGGAGCTCTGCTGGCAATGATGCTGCTGGGCTGGGACGAGGACTCTGCACTGGGCAGCGCATTCAGGAAGTGCTGCACTTAGGACGTGTGCATTTTACTGCAGCTGAGTTATGTCTTGGTGAAGACACTGAATCAAGATGGATTATAGCGTATTTATACATTTGTTTATAATGCATCCATTAATATGTATATAAATTAACAAATTCTTTAGACACACAAGTGTTGATTTATGCTCATAAACGTTTATGTGCTCAAATTGGTCATAAAAACGTGCTTACATTTTACTGGGAAAGGAGCAAGGCATCTTGTATTCAAATAGATGTTTATGGTCTTCCTGAGGATGAAGCATTATAAGCTATTGTTGCAAAAACTAACATTTTAACATTCTTTTCTGAGTTTCTAGTCAATGCGAGTCAGTGCTCTGCCGTGAACTAGTGTTCTGTGCAGACAGAACGAGCCAGTGAGTATTGGGGGAATCTTCCAAGGGGATCGGTGTGATGGCACAGGAGCTTGTCCTTGAGGGCAGCCCCAGGGTCCTGCTGAGAGCTGTCGGCTACTGGCTGTAGATGCTCACCCCTTGCTGCAAAGCCTACACTTTCAGGAAAAAGAGCTGTCCTGTTGACACCTCTCCCTTCTTTCAATGTCTGTTGTTGGAAATTCGTTGTTTGCTTTTCTAAACCACGGCTCCATTTATGCCCTAGGGAATGTGCTTCATTCGGACCACCCGACCAGAAACTATCGTTATTTACACCCCACAGGAACACTTTGAGATCGGACAGGCCAAGGTAAGGGCTTAAGCTCTCCAGCATTATTCAGTGTCATCACCTGTAAAAAGAATGCTTCTGAATCTATCACCAGGTATCTTCAGAGTTGAGGCATCATCCTTTCTTTGCTCTCATTTAAAAAAAAAAAAAAAAGGGCCGGGCGCGGTGGCTCAAGCCTGTAATCCCAGCACTTTGGGAGGCCGAGGCGGGTGGATCACAAGGTCAAGAGATCGAGACCATCCTGGTCAACATGGTGAAACCCCGTCTCTACTAAAAATACAAAAAATTAGCTGGGCATGGTGGCGCGTGCCTGTAATCCCAGCTACTCAGGAGGCTGAGGCAGGAGAATTGCCTGAACCCAGGAGGCGGAGGTTGCGGTGAGCCGAGATCGCGCCGTTGCACTCCAGCCTGGGTAACCAGAGCGAAACTCCGTCCCAAAAAAAAAAAAAAAAAAAAACAGTTGTGACCTTTACCTGCTTTTCCTTGGGAAGGAACATTTTATGAATTTCAGCTTAGCTTGAACTCTTCTGTTTTCCAAATGGAGTGTTTTGTTGTTGCTGTTGTTGTGCTCAAAGATAATAACATGAAGCCACTTGAGCATCTTGGCCGCAAACTAAACAAAACAGAAGTCATCCTGGCGGTGGCACACGCCTGCCATCCCAGAACTTTGGGAGGCAAAGGCCGGGAGGATTGCCTAAGGCTGGGAATTCCAGAGCAACCTGGGCAACATAGCGAGATTCCCAACTCTACAAAAGTTTTTAAAATTAGCCGGGTATGGCGGCTTGCACCTGTAGTCTCCGCTACTCAGGAAGCTGAAGAAGGAGGATAGGGGAGCTCAGGAATTCAAGGCAGCGGTGAGCTATGATGGATCACACCACTGTACTCCAGCCTGGGTGGCAGAGGAAGACCCTGTCTCTAAAAACAAAACGAGACAAAGAATAATGGAAATCATTTTAAATGAATCATCTGTTAGGTTCAGATTTTACAGTTCTAAGGCCAGGAAGAAAAGGGAACATGATCTCTGGTATTCTAACAAAAGCCCCGAAAAGTTCAGATTATCAGCCTATCTGTAGATAAGGATTAGAGAAGGTAAGTGGCTTACTTAAGGGTTTTCAGCCTGTGAGCACCAAGACCAGAATACAGGCCTGGGTAGTGAGCCCAGTCTCACTGAGCACCCTCTGCTCAGCCTGCCTGTCAGGGCCGTGCGTGGGGAGCACCAGAAACTTCCATGGAGAAAATAAGTGACTCTGCTCATCACCTAGAGAGTGGGGTTGCAGACATTTTGGCATGCTTCCTTCCTGTCTTTTTTCTAGGCATACGTGTATATTTTACACGGTTGAGATTATACTGTATAGAAAAGTTTGCCCATAGCCACTCTTGAAAGAGCAGCAGGTAACATCCAGGTTGGTTGCTAAGGACTAGGCTGCTCCAGAATTCAGTTTCGAGTGCTCAGAATGGCCAGAGTGCTGCCATAAAGCAGGTGTTTCCAGAACTGTCCACTGTGTGCCGTAGGTGGTAGCTGGATGGAAAAGATAGTGCTCACCGTGAGTGTTCACTACAGGCTCTGTTTTTGCGGGAGGGTGTCTTGACATTCACATGGTTTGCAGAGCTTACTTATTTCTGTCTCCTTTTTTCTAATACTTTTCCTGTCCTGCCAAAAGAAAGTACATTTCCTGGTGGGAAAGGATGTGAGTTAAATGTGTATGATAATATGCATGATGTGGATCATTAAAGGGCTGGGCTTTGCAAAGACGATATGGATATGTGTGCACGTGAGTATATGTATTTTAAGAGGCCAGGGTATCCTCAAAGATTGGGGTGGCTCAGAAACCCTATCTGTATTACCAGTAATGGTTCTTAAGCTACAAGGAAACCGAGAGAGAGAGGAAGTGGAGAATAATTCCACATGCCTCTGGTGGGTAGCTTTGGAGGCAACTAAACTATGAAGGAAGCCCAGGAAGTCTGCCATTGCTTGAGAGCGAGGGCTTTGATGTCAGCCCCACCTGCCCTGAGCCGCTTCCTCCTGCTCTGAGATTTCCTTTCCTCAGCTGCAGAATGGTCTCACCACTGAACGGATCTTACAGGGAGGCTGTGAGAGTTCTCAGAGCTCAGGCGCACAGAGCGTGTTGCCAGTGCACAGCATGTTCCTGTGAACGTGCTAGTCATTGGAGTCCAGTCTCGGTGGGCCATAGTCAGCTCTCAGACCAGACCCCTGATGGGTATGTAGCATCTCCATGCTGCAGGACAGCTGGGGCAGCATGGTTGCCTATCAGAAAGTATGTATCCTGGCTTGTAAATGCATGGTATTTCTTAGTAGTGAATTATTAAGAAGTGAAGTTGTTAGAATCGGGGGATAGTAGCATAGCAGCGTGCATTCCACTTTGAGATGCACTCTGTGTAGTTACCACAGCATTCTGTTTTGCTGGCGCTATACCAGGTCCTCCGCCACTGTGTCAGTGACAAGGTCACAGTTATTGGAGCTGGAATTACTGTGTACGAAGCCTTAGCAGCTGCTGATGAGCTTGCAAAACAAGGTCAGTTGGTTGTGTCTGAGCATTGAAGTTCAAGCTGGGAAGACTTAGGACTTCAGCTACCTCCTGTGCCCTGAGCGCTCTTTTTCTTTTTATCCCTGCATGTTCTTTATTCTAAGTCTGCTTGTACCAAGCTGGTTTTTGCTGTTCTGCAGATATTCTTATCCGTGTCATTGACCTGTTTACCATTAAACCTCTGGATGTCACTACCATCATCTCCAGTGCGAAAGCCACAGAGGGCCGGGTCATTACAGTGGAGGATCACTACCCACAAGGTGTGTGTGGGCATTGGGAATGCTCTGAAAAGTTCTGATGGGGAGTGTTTTTGTTTTCCTTTTTTTTTTTTTTTTTTTTGAGACGGAGTTTCACTCATGTTACCCAGGCTGGAGTGCAATGGCGCGATCTCGGCTCACCGCAACCTCCGCCTCCTGGGTTCAGGCAATTCTCCTGCCTCAGCCTCCTGAGTAGCTGGGATTACAGGCACGCACTACCATGCCCAGCTAATTTTTTGTATTTTTAGTAGAGACGGGGTTTCACCATGTTGACCAGGATGGTCTCGATCTCTTGACCTTGTGATCCACCCACCTCGGCCTCCCAAAGTGCTGGGATTACAGGCGTGAGCCACCGCGCCCAGCCTTTGTTTTCCTTTATTATTCACATGGCAGACTCTCAGGCGTCACCTGAGGTTTACATCTTACCTGCCATGCCTTTGTTGTTCAGTACTGACTAAGCGTGAGGCCGTGCTCGTACACCGGTGTGTCTCCAACAGTGCACAGTGCCCGGCCACCAGGGAGGGTCAGTGGCAACAGAGGAGTGGCCATTGCAGGCAAGAGAGGAGGCATGAAAAGCATCACAGTTTCTGTGGGTTTGGAATGATGAATAGTATGCCCCAGACAAGGCATGGTGGCTCACACCTGTCATCCCAGCATTTCGGGAGGCCAACACAGATAGATGACGTGAGGCCAGGAGTTCGAGACCAACATGGTGAAACCCCATCTATTCTAAAAATATAAAAATTAGTTGGGTGTGCTGATACAGGTTTATAGTCCCAGCTACTCGGGAGGTTGAGTAGCACGAGAATTGCTTGAACCCAGGGGGTAGAAGTTGCAGTGAGCCAAGATCATGCCACTGCACTCCAGCCTGGGCAACAGAGTAAGACTCTGTCTCAAAAATAAAAAGTGTGCCCCAACCAGAGAAGCAGGAACAGGATCTTTCAAGCAGAGAACACAGCAAGTGTAGAAAAAGGGTGTGCCAGGAGGAGAGGGCTGGGCAGTGTTTGGGCCTGATGAAATACGAGGAGGAGCGTCACGTGTTCATGTGGCAGGGGCCCCTAGCCTGCAGAAGTGGTGCCTGATTCTCTGGAAGGACTCCTAAGCCCCAGAACACAGTCACCCTTACAGCTGAGGTTGATGACAGGGAAAGGGCGCAGGGCAGGATCCACCAGGGCAGGAACCGTGGGCCAGGTGGAGTTGAAAGAAGTCCTGCTCCAGGCTCTATCCGGCCCCACGGGGCATAGTGAGAAGGGCCTCCCATGTAGGCTCTGTTTCTGCCCAGGGATGCCTGCTAGAGACTTGGCACCCCATGTGTTTGCTGGGGGCAGGTCCTGTTGGCACCCTCTGCCAAGCAGGTAACCAAATTCCTGGCTCCCAGCAGGAAAGCAGGTGCTCATGTCAACCACGTTGTTCCTACAAACAGTCCAGGTGCAGGACCACCCTGTCCAGTAGGGAAAGCGTCACAGCTGCAAGGAGACCTTCAGCCAAGAGGCAGGCTTGCCAACCAGCAGCCTCAAGTCAGCCAGTCACTTCTGCACTGTTAACTTGTTAGTTTTAACCATTTTCAGGTCCCTGACAGCTTTGAAAATCGGAGTGCCACACTCAGGCAGCCCCTACTGTAGGCTGAGGCAGAGTAGTTTGGAAACCGGCAGTTCAGAATGAGAACTCAGGCCCGTCGGGGTGACTGTTCACATGAATCAGATTTTCCCCTGGGAAGCCATAGATTCAAAGGCCTCTCCATGTTGGGGCTTTAAGACTAACTAGCTGCTTTCACAAAAGGGCCTGACGTCCTTGTTCCCCCAGGTGGCATAGGGGAAGCTGTCTACGCAGCCGTCTCCATGGATCCTGACATTAAAGTTCAGTCACTGGCAGTGTCGGGAGTGCCTCAGAGTGGGAAACCCAAGGAATTGCTGGATATGTATGGAATTAGTGCCAGACACATCGTAGTGGCCGTGAAATGCATGTTGCTGAACTAGAATAGCTGTTGGCTTTGGACTTAAAAGGCCTGTTTACCCCACGTTTGTTTGTTCCAAAACCGTCATTTACATCTATATTGTCATGCTTTGTTTCTTAAAAGCAAAGCTGGCTAACACCTTCCTTCATCCCTAGTTTGGAAATTCAAGCTAACTACTTATCTTTTAAACTGTGACTGCCTATGCAAATACCACAATAATTTTTGAATCATTAAAGGGAGTCATACAACGTTAAGTGAAAAAAATAGGTAGTAAAACAACCACCTGATAGTAAGTCTTCTGATAGCGCTATAGATGCATGGTAGAGGTCATAACCTTAATGTACTTCCTTCATGTGTAACTAGTAGAAGTAATCTTTTTTTAATGTGTAAGACTGTAGATAAGTGGTAGAGGTAATAAATTCTTCAGTGTATTTCCTTGATGAGTAACTTACATATAAGACTCTAGATAAATGGTAGAGGTAATTGTTTTCTCAATGTATTTCCTTCATGAGTAAAGAAAATGTGAACCGAAGTATAGATTGCAGTAGCCTAGGTTCCACAACACAATAACACCATGACACCTGCTGTTCCCACCTTGGGATTCTGTGTGCTGCCATCCAACCTGCAGCCTCCTGGGTAACGGTGTGACTGCAGCTGCCCTGGAATTCACTTCACTGTTTGCCTTCATCTCCCCTCTGCTGTTGAGAGCCTGTCAGGCAGCAGCGAAAGCTTGTTGGGATGTCCTGTGCTGCTTGTGTGACTGCTCTGTGAAGCGATGAGAGCACACTAGTTCTTGCCTCTACACTGTACTGTTCAAGTTGGTAATAAAGCATTTCAAAACAGCTGCCTTGTTCAGGACATGCTTTCTGTGCAAATCAGTTTCTCAATGGTCAGTTCCTAAATAAGGAAAAAGCTTTTATCTAAACCAGAAGGAGAATGAGCCGTGGCCCACACCAGTAAACCTGGAAAAGAACAATGGGCTGCAGATGAATCACTCACTAGAGAACAACACGTGGCCTGAAGAGCTGTCCCTGAGCTGATGCCTTCCATCAGCTATAAGCACATACAACTATGTGGCTAGAGGCGAGGCATATTGGTTCATGTCTCTAATTCCAGCACTTTGGGAGGCCAAGGCTGGTGGATCACTTGAGGTCAGGAGTTCAAGACCAGCCTGGCCAATATGGTGAAACTTCTCTATACTGAAAAATACAAAAATTAGCCAGACGTGATGGTGCGTGCCTATAATCCCAGCTACTCAGGAGGCTAAGGCAGGAGAATTTGCTTGAACCCAGGCAGCGGAGGTTGCAGTGAGCTGACGTCCTGCCATTGCACTGCAGCCTGGGCAACAGAGCAAGACTCCATCTAAAAAAAAAAAAAAAGAAAAAGTATGTGGCTGGAACAAAATGCCAGCCATAAAAAGATGAGCCTTAACTTCAAAATGGGATTTAAAATTCTACTAGATGTGTCTGCTGTGTCACATTCCTGTTTTGGCTTTGCTTTTGTTTTGAGACAGGGTCTTACTATGTTGCCCAGGCTGGTCTGAAACTCCTGGCCTCAAGTGATCCTCATGCCTGGACCTCCCAAGGTGTTGGGTTTGGAATTACAGGCATGAGCCACCATGCCCAGCCCACTCCTCATTTTTATTGCCCAAATTAAGTGATCAGAGATCTTTGGATTATCAGCAGTATCACTGAGGAATTGTTCTAGAATGTGGGGGATAAAGATGGAAGCACTGGGCTGGGACCTGGAGTCCTCAGGGTCTCCACCTAATCCTGCTCTTACAAGGCACTGAGCTGGTTTCCTGGCCTGTAAAATGAGCATGATGATGGCTCTGCTGATTTCGTAAGATTTCAAATTTTATTTTGTAAAAATAGTTTCTATAGGGTGATTGCAGAAAATTTAGAAAATGCAAAGAAGCAAAAAATTTTTTGCCTCACCTCACTATTTCAAGGTAATCACAGCTTCTCACACTCAAGACAATTTTACTCATTTAAAGTGTACAATTCAGTGGTTTGCATTCTTTCTGTGGCCACGTACTATTCTATTATATGGATGGAACACATTTTATTCTTCCATTCAGTTGATGAATGTGGATTAGTTCCACTTTTGTCTCTTATGAATAGTGTTCTGACAATTCACATATTTTGTGAAGATGTAGATTTCACAAACTGTGAAAGATGTTGTGTAGATGTAGGTCTTCCCTTCTTAGGGATGTGTATACTAGGAGTAGAACTGAATTGCTGTGTCGTCGGATAATTCTATGTCCCCTTCGAGCGTCTGTGGTGGAAGGTGGTGTTTAAAGAGTTTTGTGAGGAGTCGATGGAGTGACGCTGAAGGTGCTGTGCCATCTGAAAGGCATTGCTTTAGAGGAAAGCATTATTTTTTTTATTTTTTTGTTTTGTTTTTTAGTTCTTTGAGGAAGGCATTCTTAACAGACAAAAGTCATGCTTGCTTGTATTCAGGTGCAAAATGTCGGATTTGGTGAGATCACAGGACTGCTGCACGTAAGTGCAGTGTGGCAACAAATAGAGCAACTAATTCCATGATGAAAAAGTGCAATTTCTAAACACAGCAAAGAGCCCCCAAAGCCTCAATTCAGCCCCCTAGAAGGTTCTAGGCAGAAACAGGACAAATGAAAGTAATGAGAGCGCAGGCTCCATGATCACCCAGTGAGGGGCGTGAGCCCTGTTGCCAGCTTGGTCTGGCTGTGACTTCTGAGTAAACAAGTGTGTGTTTCTGAACTGTGAGGAGCCTGGTGATGAACACTCCCTGGAAGATACTGTGGACCCTGGCCTTGGTCCAGACCCTCGCCCTTGAGTCCTAACATCTTTCTGCTCTGATTATTTCCCATGAATAAACCACCCAGCAGAGGCTCCAGTACCATGTGCCTCGAAACCTGGCTTGAATCCTCATATCTGCTTCTTACCCGTGGGGCCTTGGGTAGCTGTAGAAGGGGATGATGGTGCTGATGACAGGGACAGTATCCCACAGTGCTGTGGTCAGGATGTTAGTGCCATCATTTCAAAACACCCTTGCAGGCCTGCTCTGCATACCTGGCAGCTTCCTACTCCCCAGCGCACCCTCGGCTGGCTCGCCCCATTGGCCCCTCTGCAGCCTCCTTACCCACCTCACTGGGGTTATGCTGAGGCTGGCAGTGACCCACCCATCTGTCTGCTCCCGAAGGGTGAGCCTGGGCTGAAAGGGCTGACACTGGATGGGCAGGGAGTGCTGGAGGCCTGGCGCAGAGGGCTCACCAGGCGCTACCTGGAGGGCATGGCTCCTACCTGTGGGCCAACGGTGGCAGGAGGAGTGGTGGCCTGGGTGGAGAAGGGGACAGGTGTGGTGTGGGTGGAGGCATGCAGCCCGGACCCTCCTGGTTGCTGACTCAGGGAGGAAAACCCTGGAGAGCTAGGCACTCACCTTCAGCCTCGGAGCCCACCCTCCCCGGGGAAGCCAGGAGAGGTTCTACCACTTTAAGAGGCCTCCTCACCCTGCCAGGCCGAGGTCAGGTTTACAGAAGCTGGGACGTTAGATTCAGGAGGGCTGAAATGATCCGACGTGTCATTCTGTATTTGGGTGAGGAAGCTGAGCACGCAGAGTTACAAACCGCTCAGGGCAGGACCTGGACTGCACCTGGTATCAGGGCCCACCTGAGAGTCTCTACCTCCCTAAGTGTACCTGTCCCCAGGAGCCTGGTGAGATTGGACGCTAGTTGTAGGTGTAAGGGCAGCAGTCTAGTTGTGGAGGGTCTCCTTGATGATACGAGTGTGCGTCCCCTGGCAAGCTTGTGACAGAGTTCTCCCAGACAGTGGAGGTCAAGCCACCTACACTACCAAGGGAGGCTCGGAGGGATTAGGGGCTTCTGGAGTCTCAGCTTCAACTGAGGCCAACCAGATGGCCCAATTCCAGGATTCAGGGTCCCATTCCTCCAAAATCACTCCCCATGATTCATGTGGGAAGCGTGGCAAGGCTGGGAATTCATAACTGTGGGAATCTGTAACCGGCACAGTCAAATGTGTTTGGTTGTCAGAGCCGTCAGCCCTGTAGGTACAAGGAGTAAGGGAATTATGAGGGCTTTCTTGGAAGCACCCTAGTTCTACTGTGGCTTGACCTGAGAGGGAGCCTGAGCTCATTGCATCTTCATCGTACATGGGCCCACTTAGGATCTTCCATACCACAGCCCTCATAGCTATCTGTGACCACCATGACAGTCAGGTGCAGCAGGGACCTGAGCTCCCAGATACTTGCTTCCGTTGACCCATCATCCCAAGCAACCGGAGTGACAGGCCGTGGATGGCTCGTGCCCCACTTCCCAGTGGGAAAATATGCTCAACCCTGCACTCCAGCCCAAAGGCAGAGCCAGACCAATCCCCAAACTGTGTGCATAGCCCTATCTTCTAGAACCTCACCCAGGGCCAGTTCTAAATTAGGAACCAGTTAGAAGACAAAAATCCATACCTAGTATCTCAAGAAAGGAAATTGAAAGTGTGTTTAGGGGCCGGGCGCGGTGGCTCAAGCCTGTAATCCCAGCACTTTGGGAGGCCGAGGCGGGTGGATCACGAGGTCAAGAGATCGAGACCATCCTGGTCAACATGGTGAAACCCCGTCTCTACTAAAAATACAAAAAATTAGCTGGGCATGGTGGCGCGTGCCTGTAATCCCAGCTACTCAGGAGGCTGAGGCAGGAGAATTGCCTGAACCCAGGAGGCAGAGGTTGCGGTGAGCCGAGATCGCGCCATTGCACTCCAGCCTGGGTAACAAGAGCGAAACTC